GCTATGCCGCTGTGAAGCTAGGCGCCACTTTAAGGTCATTTTCCCCATGTCTAATTTTACCGTTGGGTACGCTCGAGTAGAGCGTATAAGAGCAGCCATCATTTTAAACACTTGTTTCAGGCGCTATTTCTCTCTCAGTTTATGTGCCTTCATTCTGGGGTGATGGAGTGCTAATGAACAGACAGGCAGATGCATTTTGAGGTCTGAGGTCTTATGAGGTTTTCTCGAAGGCCTCGTGTCTGTCATATTACTTTGCCTGAGCCCAGCCTGTGGGAGAGGGTGCACAGTCAACCTCATGGGTAACAAATGAACCGCATCATCAAGTGTATCAGGTAATCTAAGGGACCACGAAAGATCTCTGCCTGCCATCAGGTGGCTGTTTGATAGACACTGCTGGGACTAAAATGCAAACTAATGAGCTGTAATGAATGCTAATCTTTTTGGACAAAACATGGCTGTGTCAGCACTGCACTAACCGCAGTGTTAATCCTTTAAGTAGTGGTCACGACTCAGCGTTCTTTGTCAAGATATTAAATTGGATTTTGCAGGAAAAGATTGGAAATTTGGCTGAAATCTTTCTGTGTAAATATAAAATTAAATGAATCACACAGCCTTAGACTTATTTTACTTTTTTTTAACTTTTCTCCAGTAAAATTGTGGTCAGTTGATTGGGGGTCTCCTAAGTCTCTATGTGAACGGAGCCTATGGGGAGCCAATCAACAGTTCCAGGCAAGAGGAAATAACAAAACCCAGAGCTGGAGGTGTGAGATCACTGAAGGAGGAACAGCTCACCATGGTACTGTTATCACATGACTCGCCCCTTATATAGCAGACTGAGGCCACCTGCCTCCAAAACTCTGTCACCTCGCTTTAGGAGGTAGCCAAGGCCTCGAATACAACCCTCAAGTGCCACATCCAGAGCTCCCTCCTCCATCAACCTGCTATGTTATCTACACTTTCAACTTTTTGACCCCGAACAAAGGATAGATAGCAAATATGAAGGTAACTCACCGTTAATGCCCGCACAGTGGCTTGCTAGGGAAGAGCCGTGTCAACCAGTGGCTTTTGCCTACAAGGCGAGAGCATTCTTCACACCTGTCTGCAAGGATAAGTGGGCTTGTCACAAGCAGAGCTAATCTGTTGCAACGCTCAGTCACACTCAATCCCCCAGTGGTACTCTGCGCTTGTCCTTGAATGTCTGCTGGCATTGGAAGCATACTTGGACCGCTGATCAGTCTAACCACGGTGGAAAACGTGTCAGTGAGTGGCTGCAGCATCTCCTCTCCTGGCAGACAGCTTACAGAACTTTTTTTTCCCTTTGCATGCCCTTTAGTCCGAGATCTACCTGAAGTAGGTGCCTGTGCCACGTGTGTGGGTCATTAGCCAATATTACGCCGTTCAGAGCAATGTTTGTCCGAACGTTAAGCTGTCACTCAAGAAGAGAGATGAATGCAATCAAAATTTTTTTATCTCTAAAACCATCAACACTGAGTGACACGCGAGAGAGAGACGTGGAGAGAGCAATCACAGACATAAGGACTGCTGTATTGTAACTTGGACAATATTCAGAATATGAAGTGGGTGTAGTGGGTGCGCTGATGTGCACTCACTTCACTATTCATTGATTGAAATGATCCCCAACAGTGCAGCTCTCAGTGTTATCGAACATTTAAATGTATGTATTGTGTAAACACTGGAGAGTAACAACAAGAACTATATTATAATGAAAAGCTCAAGTAATGCATACTATTTAAATGTGTGCTGTGTAGTTTTAGATTTTCAGTGTATTTTTAGTGTCGTGCTGGAAATACCTTCTACCCCTCTAGACTAGCATTGGTTTCCATTCATCCCCATGTGACATTAACATCAAATGGCAGACTCTGGAACCTGGATTAAACAGCAAACATCAAGTCTGCATTTAACTTTGTCAATGACACATTGTCTTTGCACAGTATTCAGCATGACTGACTTTCCATGCTCTATTCCCAAGCAATGACAAAAATTCAGTATTGTTCAGTATGTATGTAGTGTTCACTGCGATAGATATTTCCAATTTAAGAGTTTCAAGAATTTGCTAATGTTACAATATGCCAAATAAATTAGTGGAAGCCAATGGAGGAAATTGGAAATTGCATTCAAAAATTTAAAACAAAATGGTTAGCTGTGATGAAAAGTGTGATTTGTGGTAAACAGGAAAATAGGAAATAGCAAAATCATTGGCATGGTGCTTTAAATTGGAATTGCAATAGCTGGTTGTATTCTCTGTAATCTGAAGGACAGGCACACCTTCACGCCTTCACTGAAAAATCCCAGAAAAGTTTGTTGCATTTATTTTGTGCTTGTTCGACATTGGGAAATCGCCACAAACGCAGTATCTAGGATAGGATGTGCAATATCATCTTATTAATTCTGTCTGTCCTTCATGGACCAGGAAGAAATGACCCTCTTATATAATGAGAACAAGAACTGCCCTCTTTACTCATGCTCAGAGAAGTTAGTCCGTCATAAAATAACCATGTGACAAGATGAGACAAGGTGATTATGATCAACTTCAATAACCGCAAAATTTTGTTTTTCATGTATTTTCCTTTTGATGTAAGATAGGATAGAGAGTTATTCTGGACTGTGGATACGAGGTTCTAGCTTAGGAAGAGAGTTACTCATGTGGAAATGTTACTCTGACTGGCCAAGATCAAAGGATGGAATAATGAAGAGACAATGTCGTGGTTCCTGTTTTAGAGTGAAATTCCTTTTTAAAACTAATATCAAAGCTTAAGAATGCAATTATTTTCTAAAACCAAAATGCTCTTGAAAAAAGAAGTGAGAAAAGTGGGACAGCAAAATGGGGCATAAGGGATGGCACATGTGGAATGAATTCCAATAACTATCAAATACCCATTTTATTGGAATATAAAAATGTTGACACCTTGTAGTTGTAAATGTAAAGTCATGACTTGCTCACATGAATATTCATATGAACATCGTAGTTACTATTAATGCCCTGTATATGCCATTAGTTTTTGTTCATCTGCTTAAAACTCACCCCTAAATTTCAGTATATAATGTGTGTTCATTAAACGGGTTCTCTGTGTGCTGGGGAGTATAGCATCCCCAGTTAAATGACACTTCGACTGACGGTTCATAAAAGCTTTAATGTTGTACTAAATACACAGCGCCGTAGCTCCTTGAAGACACTGTAAGAGCTAACGAAAGAAAATAGCAATTAAAATAATATCCATCTTTTTTAATATCCTCACAGATTACAGCACTGTAGCCTTGTAATCTTCCAACAGTATTTACCCACAAACTTTAAGGTCTTATACTACAAACCTTAGCCTGAGAATGAAGGACTGCACTCCAGCCATACTGTAAATTATTACTTTGAAGCTTAAGTCAAAATCTCTGACATGTTTAACTTAAAATGAAATGGTCATTTTTCAGCCACAAATCGAACTAAAACATAACAAAAGAAGGATGTGCTAATGCAGGAATGCGGGATTCCCGTCGCTACTGTATATTCAGGGCATTACTCCATATGTGTTTCTCAGCACTCTGTGGCAAAGGAGCAAAGAGGAATATTCCAAAGCTTGCTCAATGTCCAGTCAACAGAGGAAATAATTCTGCCCTACTTCTCAACACAGCTATTTATGTTTCTGTTGTTACTGTTAGTTCGTCCAGTGTAAATGCAAATCGAAGCGTAACATCCTCACGTCAACATAACTATGATCTGGACCCATGCAGCCGTAAATCCCTCAAATATTTTGTGCCACAATCCAGTGGAACCAGATCGAATGCTTTCATTTCCAAATGTTAGCGTTGAGTGTTTGAATTTCACAAACGCAACAAAGAGAGCTTAAGCAGAAATGATGACTGCTACAAAAACACACAGAGAGATGTGCCAAGAGGACTGAATAATATCAGGGGGCTGATGTGTTTTCAGAATATGCTCCATTGAATGGCACCATTTCAGAACAGAAGTGGGGACAGCCTTTGGCAAAATCTGCTGAGTCAATTGAATTGTTTCTTCCTGAAAGATTTATTTTCAGAGACTATGAGATACAGTCACGCTGCTTGGATATATAGTGAATGTTGGAAATGCGGTCGGTTCATTCATGACTGTGCTGTAAAACATGTAATGAGCAGTGAGCTTGTAACTGTGCCTCTCTGTGAATCATTAACACATTAGTCTTCTTGTCAGCTTTTGCCTCTGAATTCAGCAGATCTCTCTTTTCTGCTGCATCTCACCTTCTTCACTCTGCGAAATATGAACAATTACAGTTCAGCAAGTATCATTATAATAATGTTCTGCAGAAATTATGATGCTGATAGGCAGTAGATTAGGCAGGTAAAATGGCATGTACTTAAGGCAAAGTCTAAAAAAAAAAATCTCCAGCTCCTACATTTATTGAAAGTCCTAATAGATACTTAAGTTTCTCTAGGGTGCTGCAAGAATGACTGCTTGGCATTTCAAAATTTATTTCTAAGTAACTCTCAAAAGATGTGAAGTATAATCTTTAAGAGTTTTATAAGAAAATCCACTTGGGTTTTTGTGTCTTATTTAACTGTGAGGGTCATTTTTGACAGTTTTAGCTGGCATTTCATGCGCTTGTTAAATGCTTTGAGATTCAAATTCTACTTTTCTGGTATTAATTTATATATTCGTATTAAGTTAGACAGAAAGAACCTGACTGGGAGCCTCCCTACTGTTGAATGTCATTTCATATATAATCATTAATGATAGATCTTGTTGGTTTTTCTCTCCACTCATTGTGTAATTGCACGCTTTTCTATAATGCCCATCAGCATCTATTTTTTTTCTGCTTCAACAACCTCGAGGCATGCTGTCTGTACTATCATTCAGCTTGAAACTGTGTTATTGATCCACACATTCAGCTAGAAGAAATGCATTACCATAAATCTAGTTTTATTAATAATGATAAAATGTGGAAGACGGTGAGCTCAGTATGTTTGTGGCAATCATATCTCTGTCTCCCTCGCAGCCAATCCCACTGGTTCTGGACCGAAAGGTTATCCAGGCACATCGGAGGTCTTCAGGGAGTCCAGCAGCACAACAGGGATGGTGGTTGGCATCGTAGCAGCAGCGGCGCTGTGTATTCTGATCCTGCTCTACGCCATGTACAAATACCGGAACAGAGACGAAGGTTCGTACCACGTAGACGAGAGCCGCAACTACATCAGCAACTCGGCACAGTCCAACGGCACCGTAGTCAAAGAGAAACCAGTCAACACTGCAAAGACCTCAAGCAAGAACAAGAAGAACAAGGACAAGGAGTACTATGTGTGATTGTCAAACCTCTGGTCTTTGCCAGACCAACTTAGACATTTATCGAAAAGACAAATCAGGACATCAACACGTGTACAGTATAATAACAAAGATGAACATTATTTAGTCATTTTTCCTAAAAAGACAATGCTCTGAAAAGTAAATATGAAAAATGAAAAAATAACTTTCTTGAGACTCAAGCATTGGAGATAAAAAGAAAATATATACAGTCCAGAAAGAGAGTGATGGAAAAATGGCTGTGGCAACCAGTTGAAAATGAACTGAGTACATATCTAACATGTCAACCAAACAACATTAACCCATCTGTGACTTGTTTCCTTGGCCAGGACTATGTGATCTAACTCCCTTGTTTCTGGTAAACAGAGGAGCACAGACGCACTTTGCAAAGAGGGGTTCAGCATTGCAAACTTAATGTTTTCATTTACATTGCCTGTGTTTGTGTTGTTGAGACTTTTTCTAGAGAAAATGACACAAAGCATAAATAAATACATACATAAATACGCCAAATATTTACTGTGGAGGAACAGAAAAAAAAAATCAGGTGACGGCGAATTCAGAGAGAAAAAAACCCCTGATGGATGTCCGCGGGATCAGCCAAAGTACTCACTGAAGAGGCAGTGATGGCGGGCAAAGACTAACACCTGGCTGACTGAGCCACCGCAGTGCAAAGATGTGAATGGATGGCAGTTTCTCTTGAAAGACTATGGTTAAAAAGAAGAATATGTCCATTGTGCCAGTATGAAATCTGGAGGCCTTCGTTTTCACATCATGTGAACTCAAAGGAGAGAGTTTCCTCACAGGGCTGAGGATGTCTCAACAGTGATCATTCGGGAGCCATGCACGCAAAATTATCTTATTACAGTACATATGTTTATATACAGTACAACCACATCTATATGTGCTTTCTGGACTGTGACAAAGTGGTGTTTTATAGCCTGTTGTATAGATGATGCAAACTATAACTGCTCCTCAACCATTTTGGAATAAAACAAACAAAAAAAAAAATGGACAAAAAGAAGACATAAGTGTTATTAAGTGTTGCTAGACATAGAAGATTTTATGACAACATCTGCATTTTTTTTTTCAGTTGGATAATTATTTGACTCTCCCCTGTTTTTACATGTGTTCCTATATAGTTTTTTATACAAATGCCAACCAGAGATACATGATCCCGGACCAGTAGTAGCCAAACCGTTCCCAAAAACTGCACAAGGTGTTAAAAGTGGAGAGGCGTGGCATGAAGACTTGTGTGGATCTTTCAAGGATACTGGTAGAATCACTGCCTTCCTCCTGACTTACATGAGTGAGAATGAAGACCGAGAATATGAGTGATGATGATGATGGATGATGACAGTGATTAAGATAAATTAACTTGCTGTGTGTGTTTCCAAGTGGTATTATAAGATTGTCCAATGTGTGCTTGGGCTGATGCAAACCCCCCCCATCCCCCGCCCCCACCCGGGAGAATAGCTCAAATACGTCTCCATTTCAGCTGTTCTGTGTTTGTTCTGTCATTCTGTCCGTCAATTCTGCTTTCCAGAGACCTGTACTTGGAATGAGTGTGAGGAAAATGACCATGAACTATAAATGATGATTATAAATTCTCTTTGTTTGTTCCTCTTTTATTTCATCTTCAGTGTTTTTTATGTTCAATTGTAACTCTTCTTGTACTCCACGTAAAAATTAATTATAAAAACTAGTTTTGAAAAATCAAATGAATAAAATATTACCTAAGTGAACTTAAACCAGTCTACTGACAAAATGTGTCAGAGCAACATGCAGGTTTTATGATTTTCATTTTTCATCATGCAGACACCCTTTTCATTAAAAGAGTACTCCGCTGATTTAACATTGCACGACTCGCAATGGAAACTTTAAAGCAGCAGTAGTTCTCCTCAAGACATGTGTAAAATTGGTTCCACTTAAAGTGTTAGTACTGACGTCTGTGTTTTTGAGCTGCTTCATCTTTCTTTTTGTCATGGATTATATGATTTAAAAAAAAGAAAAGAGGTTTGATGATTGACATGTGGAAATCTACAGTGGTTGCTTTTATTCACCCATATGACTCAAAAAAAGCTGAATATGAATAAGTACATTTACAAATGTAGGTTTGAAGACAGGGGTCTTTTTAAGCACTATATTTATTGCTTTTAACATATCTGAACTTAAATCAGAGACACCCATCCAGGCACCACGTTAGTTTTTATCTCCAGATAAACCGTGTGCACCCCATCAGATAAGGCGCCGAGATACTCGTCTGGCTAAATTAACTTTTAGTACTGAGCTATTACTTGACTTTAAATTGAAGTGTCCGTCTCAAAGTGGAAAATCTACCCAAAAAGTCTCGTGACAGTCTTACCATGGATCAGATAGAGCACTTGACACTGAAGCATCACTCAACACATACTGTACATCTCCACACGGGTGCAACTAAAGACAGAAGTAGCTGAAAATGGTGCTTGAACTCCACTACAGCATATTTCAACTAGAGCGTTCCATCCTACCTACTATTAAGCTTTGGGTTGATTTTCAGATAGTTAAGAGGAGATGGACAGGAATGAAAGCACAAAGGTGTGACAGACTATGAGCTGGATTTAAACCCTTACAGCAAGCAGATGGTTCCTCAAGAGAGTCAACCCAGCTGTCATAGCTCTTCATCGGCCGCTCAAGCACCTTTCTAATGTGATAATGTGTAATGTGTGATATGTTACTGATCTCCATATGGAAATCTTTCCTTTCAGTTGGCTCAGTCTTCTTGCTCAAGGACACTTCAGCAGGCAAGGTGATATTGCTAACACAATATCACACATAAGGCCACACTCAGACAAAAAATAGCTCTGTGTTAAAAGAGAAAAAAATGGAAGGGCCTATGCTGGTGTGGGTGTGGTGCTGGTGAGAAGATGAAATACAATGCAAAAAATCCCTGAAAACGTGGTCTCCAACCAAATAAAGAAAAAAAAACAGCTCACTGACTTTAAAGGAGCAGTGTGTAGGATTTAGTGGTATCTAGCGGTGAGGCTGCAGACTGCAACCGACTGAATAGCCTTCCCTGTCTAAGCGTGTTTGAGAAACTATGGTGGCCTTCAGATGACGAAAAACACAAAAAACCCTCTCTAGAGCCAGCGTTAGGTTTGTTCGTTCTGGGCCACTGTAGAAACATGGCAGTGCAACATGGCGGAGTGTTCCCTTAATATCCTTGTGTAGATATAAAGCGCTCATTCTAAGCTAACACAGCGATCTTAAGTTAAAGGTGACTACACACATAATTATGAATACTATGTTCTATTTCTACTAGTAAATCCCCCTAAATCCTACACAATGGTCCTTTAAATATTCACAATTTAAAATGCCATCCTTATTATTATTATTTATTCACTATATATCCTTATTATTAAAAGTTGAGCAGTCAAAAATCATTGTATTTGCTTCATTAGGATTGTCTGGATGTGATTTAATCAGATTTGATTAACAGATCCAGGTTCAAATGTTGCTAAATTTTGACTGGTGCATTGGCGTATATGACATCACCTTTTTCAAACCAGTCAGAAGGGCACAGACAACAGACATCTCTTATGTGAAACAGCAATACAGGGCCTTTAAGTAATACATCCATGAGTTTAAAGGCTTATCACATGCATCTTATAAGATAGGGACCTCAGGGAAATGAATGACAAACAGTGCTGTTGCCCTCAACATAGCCGTACACGTTAAAGTGACCAATGAAATGTATAAACACAACACTGAAGTTCCCCTGATGACTTTCATGCCGTGCACATTGGCTAAAGTAATATGAATTTCTGCTCATACGTATGCAAGCTCTGGCAGTTCTCCCATGTTCTGCCATGGAAATGCTTCCATAACAACATCCTCTGCATGAGGAAGCAAAGCAAATTTTAGCTTTTTAAGATGAAAGACTGCTTTTGTTTTGCTGCAAAAACAACAGTCACTCAGGCTGTTTACATGTGCATTTTAGCTCATTTGTATCATGATGAATGATAATTATTTCTGTCAGATGTCCTTGTCATAATATTCCCAGCTAATAATCCTCAAACATCATTATAAACCCAATTTTACTCATTCCACCAAAAGGAATCAAACCAGTTGAAGAAAATATTTGTAAAACATGTGAAAATGCATCACATTTAAAAGATATAATCATTTCTGTAAAGCCCTATGGATCTTATTTCAGGTAAATCATATATGATCCGATCTGATCAGTGTCCAGGAGTTATAGCACTAACACATCCAATATGAGTAAAGTAAAAGAAAATGGACATTTCATCATTCATACAAGAGGCTTAATCAGCTCTGCTGACTAGTAGGGAGTCTATTTAACACAGTGGTAGTGCAGACCAACCACCCTCTCCTCCCTCGGCATTAAAAGACAAGTTGTTCTAGTTCTAGTTTCACACACATAACATCCCTCTCTCCTCTTTCAAAGCATCTGTATTTTCTGTTTTTCTCTTTTCCTCTGGCTGGTCTTAATGTGTTGTATTTTTTTGAAAAGCACAAGAACGCTGTGTTTTTCTGGAGATGCCCTTGCGTTTGCCTGGCCACATACGGAATATCTATGTTATTCATGTTGCAATCCACTAAGTTCATCTTTTCCTTGAAGATTTGCACTTCCTGGATTTTTATCTTGACCTCCACATACAGCATTTTAACCAAAGACTGCTGTTCCCCAGAGGTGGTTCAAAGCTCTCCTTTCTCCTTTCTCCTTTCTCCTTTCTCCTTCCTCCGTGAAGCCGGCGTACACAGGAAGACTCCGGTGAACCCACAGTGCAGCTTTGTTTCTGTCTGCGGAAACCAGCCTAGTACTTAAAGTAGATGGTGTTTTAGGAAAAGTCAACTGGGGTAAATACCTGATCCAGCTACTCTGAGTATGGGCAACCATGTTTTTCTGTTTCCCCAGAAGTTTACATCTAAGGCATTATATGTGATAGCTGCAGACACGGTACATGTGATATGGCATCATGATAGGAAACCGTGTTCTCATCCATGTCGAGTTCCGGAGTTGCGAGCTCCTCACAGTGTCCTTCCCCAGTTGTTGTAAACAGTCTAATCTCTTGGATCTCTTTCCAACAGTTGTTAGTGTTGTGGGATTTCTCTTTACTGTTTCATGTGCAATGCTCTGCAGTCAGTCACTTAAGAGTCAGAGTACAGTCCACCTTGTTGAGCACAACAGCGCATCTTCCTTTATCAGGCAGCAGGATGGTGATATTCTGGTCCCTGCTAATCGATGTCAGAGTCCTCTGTTGAATGGTCGGGTTGCAAGGAGGTGATCTTGCACTGGAAAAGGCTGCAGAGACTTTCTACCTGAGTTGTTCTTACTCTGCCTTCAAGATGTTGTTACAGCGAGCTGATTCTGCAGCTGTGTTAAAATTTGCCACTGGCACATTTAACTACATGGCCACCAATTCTCTCTGTGTCCTTCCTTATAGACTTTTCTCGATGTCCTGCAGTGTCACACTGT